TTAATTAAATTATTTATTCATCCAGCCAAGTTTTTATTTATTTATTTATTTATTTTATGTATGAATAATTAAATGGCCGGGTGGAATTAATGCATGGAGGAGGTGAACTTGAGCACACTACTTCCCTCCCTCCCTGCTTCACCAACGACGTCATCTGCAGGATGGCGCTGGGGAGGAAGTGCAATACCAATAGCATCTTTCCGGATGGATCTGTTGGCAGAGATCATGGAGTTTTTTTATTGCATTTAGTGTGGGGGAGTTCATTCCTCAACTTTCTTGGGTGAGTCGACTCATTGGGTTCGATGCTCGAGTCGACGATTTGATGAGTTTCTCGATGGAGCTGTCCTCGAGAGCGCGGCTCGTTTGGAGAAACGGAGCAACATGATAGAAAGAGGAGAAGAAGAAGAAGAAGAAGAAGGCGAAGCAGTACCCTTGATAGATGTCTTGCTGCAGCTCCAAAGGGACAGCCCAGAGGAGTGCCACCTCGATGGAGATGGGATCAAGGCAGTCATCATGGTATTTGTTTACTAGTCACGGGCCCGGCACGTTGGCCGATTTTATTTCGCTATGTAGTAAATAAGGATCGCAACTATTTTAATTGATATACATTTTTGTATCATTAATTTTTCTAAAATTTTCAATATTATTAGAAACATTGGAAAGGATAAACCTCATAGAGTTTTTCAATATCCAAAAAGATTCATTGAGTGAAATCAATACAAAAAATAAATAACAAACTCTAGTTAGAGAATTGACAATAACATAAACAACAATAGTAATTGTTTATATTAAGTTACGTTGTTTGGTACTACAAAAGAATACAAAATATTCAATCACCAAAATAGGGAATGAACATTCATCATAGATTTTTTTGATATTATAACTGATTGATTGATGTAAAGATGAAAGTAAATAACTAAACTCATGTCAGGGAGACAAACCATAATTAAAGTAATATACCAAACCAAAATCAAAATCTTCACCGTCAATATTCTCTTTCTTCTTGTGAGCAACAAAAGTTAAAAAATTGAATGAGAAAATATTTACAATATGACACTACAAGTTGAATTTATCTCATCCAAGTCATTATATAATCGAATGATTTGTTGTTGTCCTCATCACTAAACCCTTTATCTTCAACATGAAACTCTCTTCCATCTTCTCAACATCGTCGTCATCTTAACTATAAAATCCGCTACTTTCACTACTACCAAAGTCTTCTTTTGCATTTCATTAAATTCCAAAATTAGTGGTATAATTTTTAAAAATATGAAATTGGAACTTCAGACCATCTCCTATAAGGGGCCAAAGTGATACAGTGCTAGAATTATTAGGCACTAAAAAAATAGGATTTGCTCCAACAATGGAGTGCTACAGCTAAAGTGTCAAACTTGTTCTTTTTTTATTACTTAGTTTAGAGTAGATTTCATAGTTTTAATTACATAGATTGTATATTACATTTATATAGGTAGTAATAATGAATTAAGAGTTTAGGAAGAAGACAATTTTTTAACTGATGTGAAAAAGATGGAGAAGGAGAGAAAGTTTTGGAGGTAGTGAAGTGAAGTAGTAGTGAAAAAATGAAGTGTATTTATAGGAAAAGCTGAGAAAAGAGTTGTTGGATGGCCAAAATAACCGTTGGAGAGAATTTGGGGCTAAAAGTGTAATAGTTATTATTATTATTATTATGTAATGCCCATAAGGAAGGGAGAGTTGTGCGGCCTGCGCGTGCACCACATACACGCTCTGCCTCCCTTCCTTGCGCCACGTTTGCGCCACACGCCATCTTTGACACGTAATTGTTGTGGCAAAGTGAGGGCGGATTGTCTGACTCCCCTTGTCGTCTACCGGTTCAAATTTGGCTCTCAATCCACTATATTTTTGCACTCTGACCCTTTCCACTTGTTATTGGAGGAAGTTTTTGGCAAGATAATTGTTTCTTGGATTTATAGTGGAGATAGACTCATGCATGTAACATTAATCTCATTTATGTATTGAATATTTTCTAAGCTTCGCTCTTTAATCCTTCCTTATCTTCAAATCTATTTACTCACTTGTGGGATTCATGATGTTGTAGTCAATGAGTTTGATGTCGAACTTCAACTCCAATCCTTCCATTCCTAGAAGAAGAGGAGGTGAAGATCCTCTCATTTTGTCTGTCTTGTAATATTTTATCCAAAACTCGGAGTTGGATCCTGAACTCTATAAAATGGCATCAATTGGCATTCACTATTTAGTAAGAAAATTTATGTTTCAATGGCTATTAATGATTTTTTTGTTAAAAGAATGAATCTAGAGTTAGATTGTTACCTACGGGTGAGAGTCGTCTTCTAATTTTGGAGGACAGGTTTTGGGTCAAGCATCACGCCACTCATTCCAACTGTAATTAACAACTTTCTATTGGAAGAAACATAAAGTTTTCAAAATATTATATAAGGAGTTAGCATTTGAATATTAATGAGTCGTTAGATTGAAATTGATGTTTAACTAGTCTTTAATTTTAATTTTCAATTTATTGAGCTCTTGCAATATTTTTGTGGGGAATGAGTTTCATTTCTTACTCTCCTGGGAGGATGTGATACATCTCCATAACTTTAATCTTAGAAACAATTATTATGAAACCAAAATTTGATTTTTCTAAACTCGTAACTAATAAGTAATAACACACAACAAAATACATAACTTCAAATAACATGAATTTCACCTTGACCTAAATTCAATCACTTACAAAATTTGTAAATTCGTTTGCAGATAAACATGTAAAAAATGTTTCTTTATCATTTTGTTCGTAGACAAAATAGTGATATAATAACCAGAATGAGAGGTCGATCACCAACAATTGCGAGAATGATATTTATTGTCCAACCCCACAAAGAAACTTTAAGAACTAATCTCTTATACTCAAATTGTATATTAGGTCTGGAATAAAATTTTAAATAAGACATGAAATTTTAAGATGCAAGTAGTTAAGATTGATGCTTTAGTAGTTAAGATTAAGGATGAGAATTTTACCTATACATGGCTATTTTGTTATCCAATCAAATTGGGTTGAGTTTAAAAATCAAATAGATGGTATATGTGTAGAGTTTGATGGGTTTGTATCCATATCCATTTATTTGGGTTGGGTTAGATTTTTGATTCATGGATTTGGATTTTACCCATAATTATATGAAAATTACAGTTTGATACCTAAACTTATTAGATCCTTAGATTTAGTACCTAAAATTATTTTTTTTTCAAATAAGTCCTCAAAATGTTGATGGAAAATTACATTTTAGTACTAATTTTTTGCACTTACATTTTGGTACCTAAACTTTTTAAATTTTACAAATAGGTCCAATTTTTCTATGTGTAGTTAAAACACTCTCAACCAAATGGGTATCCATATTCAACCCATACCCATTTGGATTCTGGAAGCAAGATCCAAATCCTACCCAAGCCCATCTACAACCTCCCAAACTCATATAAACTTCACCCATACGCTAACCCATAATCAATGAGTCTACTTGGATTTGGGTAAATTCTCATGGGTAGGTAATTGACATTCCTAGTTAAGATGCTTTTTGTACCGAATGTATGGTTCTTACATAGTTAGGAAAACAATGTTGAAGTAAATTTTTTTTTTGTTACCTAAGCTATTGTTGCATTTAATGTCATTGTAAAACCTCACATTGTTGCCTTTGAAAAATACTCGTCCAAGTATTGTTCAAATTTTTGTAGATAGGTTTCTCGTCTAACATAGTACCACTCATTTTTAATTTTGACAACCTTATATTTGAGAGAAACATATTTCCTGTGTATTAAATAAATTGTTAGCATTTGATGGTTAATGAATGGTTAAATAAAAATTCATATTTACCTCTTCCGAATCATATGAATTCATTGAACTCTTGAGCTATTGTAGTGTTTTGGTTGGGATTAGTTGTGGGATTTTGTCTTTGATTTTACTAAGGAGGTGGTGCATCTCTGTTACTGTTATAACAATAAACAATGGTTATTAATCCTATGTATTTTGTCAAACTGTAAACGTATAAGGGACAATCAAAGACATGGATTGAGTTTACCATAGACTATCATTTCGAAACGAAGAATAGTATTTATTTTGGAATTGATTGTCAGCCACTTCATGGAAACTAAACACTTCAATTTTCTTTCATAATAGATATCATTCGAGCTCATAAATATGTAATAAACAGTATCTTAATGTAGAAAGTATATAATTTGAAAAAAAAACATATATTACCTCTTTCTAAATAAGAATCTTAGCATATATAGCCATAGCTATTATCTTTATTGTAGAAATTGGAAACCAAATTTATAAGTTAAATTGTAAGATTATAACACTCAAATGCAATTTAATCATCCAATAATCTCCTTCAAAAAATCAATCCACAATGATGAATACGTGAATTAAAAAGCTGAAACTCTACTAGATTGAAAAAAAAAGGATCTCTAATCTCTACTACCCATATGTATCAGTATTACTATTAACTTGCCGATCCTAAGTAGTTTCAACAGGAATATGCTTTTGGGTTTTATATCTTCGGATTGGACTTTTATTAAAGCTAAAGGAAGCATTAGGCCCACATATACATACGTTATAGAAAAGAGACCCATTGCATTCATGAATTAAAAAAGAAGAAGCAAAAAGACTACAGAGTCCTTCCGTACTCCACGCAGGAGCCAGGAAAAAAGAGATGGAGTGGGTGCTGAAGGAGAAACCCCATATAATACTTGTTTAGATTAGATTAGATTAGATTAGATTAGATTTATTTATTTATTAAAAAAAATCCAAGGTGTAACGCTAAATATTCGTGTCATTAATTACTTAACTGGCTATGAATTGTCATATGGTACGTGGATCAGGACATGTTCATCGGAGGAACATACACGACGTCAACGCTTTTGGAATGGACGATGTCAAAGCTGATTAAACACCCGAGCGTGATGAAGAAGCTGCAAGAGGAGGCCAGGAGAGAAGCTGGTGTCATTATTTGTGAAGAAAATTTGCAAAAGGTGGAGTACCTGAAGCTAGTAATCAAAGAGACGACACGTACGATTGCACCCGCCAGTCCCGTTGCTGCCTCCAAGGCAACTTATGCAAGACGCGACGCGACCATAATGGGTTACGATGTATCGGCTGGAACCATGATCCTAACCAATGCGTGGGGGATCGGAAGGGACCCGCATATTGGGGGGAATCGCCGGAAGAATTCCTGCCCGAGCAATTTCTCCAAACCAAAGTGGACTTCATAGGCCAAGATTTCGAGTTGATACCTTTTGGAGCTGGAAGGCGACGCTGTCCGGGGATTTCTTTCGGCCTGGCAGTGGTGGAGGTGGCGCTGGCGAACCTAGTGAGGGACTTTGATTGGAGGCTGCCCGGTGGAATGAGATTGGAGATGACTGAATGCGTTGGTCTTACAGCCCGCCGAGACGTCCCTCTTCTCGCCATACCCACCATCGTCTCCGCCGGCCAACTTGATTAGTGCGAGCGAGCGAGCGTACAATAATTTATTATTTTCATGGGTTATCATTACGCTCATTTAATTGTCTGGGTTTATGCTCTAATTCGCATTTTCCATGGGTCGCATTAGTTGGCTTGGCTAACTAGGGTCGGTATTTTGGATTACTTTGATCTCTTGGGCATTTCGTCAAACACCTATGACCTATCTATAATCGATCCATCATTCTCTCTGTTTCCCCTCGGTCTCTTTGTTTATTTTGCCACAGGCGTAAATGGGTGACCGTGCTTCTGAGAACCCGACAAACCCTATGCTGCCTCCCTCTCCCCGTCGAGTGGCGCCATCAAAGTGGATCAACACACCCCCTGCCGGACAGGATGGAGAAGGCGGAACAGGGCTAGGATGACCATGAGGATTCCCTCCACTCGGGCTGGAGTTAGTTGCTGCTGCCCATTCATCCCGCTGTTGGAGAAACTGACGAACCAGCCAAAGGTAATGTCTCTGTTTGTTATTTTAAAAGTCTGTTTTCATCTAATGGGAACCCTTTTCAGATCTTAGTGATGGCCCTAGGCCTTCCGAGAAAGGTAAGCTCGGATCATAATTTCTTTTTAACTAATCCGGTTTCCCGAGATGAGATTATACGGGACGTCTGTCCTCCCCGGGTCACTTTTCCCATCGTAACCGCCGAGGAGAGTAGCCATTCGTTGAGAGCAGCAGGCGGTTGGTACTTCCGAGAATTGTAGAAAATGAGGAACTCGCCACATTTGTTCAGCCACATTTGGGGAAATCGCCACCCATGGCGCCAGGTTGATTATGAACTTCGCCAAAATCCACGGTGCCATCTTCAGAACCCTGTTCAAATCCCCCTCATTTGAGAAAACAAACTGCAGTAATCCTTCGGCCGCAGGGAGAATAGAAACCGGCCCGTCGAAGTCCCAAAGGCCCCGTACGGTCGTAAGCAGAAGGCAAATTGGAGGGGATGGCCCAATGATTTTACCCAGCAGTGATAGTTCATTTCGTGCTGCCCCGGGTGCGACATCGTCGTCGCCAAAAAGCAGGACATTCCCCGCAGCCATGGATCTGGGCGAAGCCGAAGCGTCAATTACAAAACGGAAACTCGACGAAAGGAGAATTTCGGGAAAGGAGCGAGAAGACCAAAAAATTCACCCTTACCTGTTCATGTCCAGTGAGATACCAAATCTCCCTCGCCACTCTGCAGTCAAATAAACAGTGAGCAATTGTCTCTATTCCTGCAGCACAAACAGGACAAGAATTTGAATCACTTAAGGATTTAGTCTGCAACACATCCAAACACGGCAGAAACCCCCGGACAACCCGCCACAAAAAGAACTTTAACTTGGGAGGGACAGGCAAACTCCACAGAATTTTCCAGAAACGAGAATCGAGATGAGGAGGGAGGTTGTTGAACATTCCCAGGGGAGAAGGAGATGTTCCGGAGCCATCTGTACTCATAAAAAAAAAATTGCATTTGGACTGCTTAGGTGTGGATTGCCCATAAGGAAGCAAGTTGGTCTAGTTTCCCCGTGGATAATTCTGTATATATGTCTTGGCAGGTAATTAATTTCCAACTTCATTAAAAGGAGTTGAATGCCCTAATTAATTATATGTTTTGGACAAAATCAGTTAACGCCAGCCAACCGATAATTAATTTCCTTTTCTCGATCTCCCTTTGCAGCCTGGCTACTTGTGCTTACATGATAAAACAGCTGTTTCAACTCAGTTGTCAAGATCCACTTTACCTAGTTTTGGTGAAACGCAACAACAGGGTTGCCGAACGTACACCACTGTCCCTCCCGGCTCAACGTTGATGACAATTAAGTGCTTCACAGAATAATTAAGGAGGGTTTGGTGTCTCTTGGTATTCCACACAATGGGTTGGTCAACGCTTTCGTTTAGTTCGTCGCTCTTATAGCTCCAGGAGTCACGTGTCGCTCACTTGTTGGACATCTCTCGGCCATAATAAAAATGTATCTTTTCTATTGACTATTGTTCTTCTTTCACTTTCACTATAAACATTTCCTAGCAATAACTGGCCATTCTGGCTTGTAGTTTGAGGCTATTATTATTATTATTATCATAATATATAATAATAATTATATAATAATAATAATAATAATATAATTAAGCCGTAAGTTTCTTTTACTGTACCATACGACAAAAACGGGGTTGCTTGCTATAAAATCGGAATTGCTTTTCTTAATCCAGGGTTACTGTTCACAATCGCTTAATTTCCTGTTTCCGAGCGTACTTTACCGTGTATAAATCACCAGCGAGCGATTACCGAGCCTCTTTCAGTTTCTCTTTGTCTTTCTTCATGATTTCCAGCCATTGAAGTCCGTATACCTCTCTACTTCCTTCCCAAATCTTTCCACATGCACCAAAACTGCTATCGATATACCCTTCTTCCACAACCCCATCTCTACTTTAGCAAGAGAAGAATTAGATGAGGTGCCGATCTTTAATTTAATTGCATGCGTCTCTCATTCCTTATGCAATATGCCCAATTTTACAATAAACTATTTCTTCTCATGTAGTCGGTTATTTTTGGTTTTTTCCCCATCTACTGAGGTACGTTTTCATTTTATATTGTGAAAGATTACGCATTACAAATCCATTACGCAAGACAATTACTATTCCTTAATAAAAGTAGGGGTAGAATTAAATATGTTTTTTTTTTCTGTAATGGGTATTATTAAGGGCAACGGAGGACGCTTTCGTGGGCGGCTAAAGAAACACTTATAAAATCAATTGCTTTGGCTTTGCCTTTACATGTGATGTCTTGTTTCAAGCTCCCGTTATCCTTATGCCGCTTGTTGGACAGGCATATTGCTCGCTTCTGGTGGGGGGAAAATGAAGGTCACTCTAAGGTGCGGTGGATGTCTTGGCGGGATATGTGTCGAAGTAAGCATGATGGGGGGATGGGCTTCCGCAGATTTGAGCAGTTTAATCAGGCGCTGTTGGCTAAAATTGGGTGGCGTATTCTCAGTGAGCCCAATTCCTTGCTGGCCCAAGTTTACCGTGGAAAGTATTTCCCTACGGGGCACTTTCTATCGGCTAAAGCGAGATCTCGTCCATCCTGGGGTTGGCAGAGTATCTTGTTTGGGCGACAGCTTTTGGAGATGGGGTTACGCTGGCAGGTTGAAAATGGGCGTGCAGTTTCTATGCTACATTCTACCTGGGTCCCTGGCTTTCAATTAGAGCCCATACGGTATAATCCTATAATTTTGCCAGAGTGTGGGGATCCGCCAGTGGCGGAGTTAATTTGTGAAGGCGAGGGGAGCTGGTGTGATGAAAAACTTAGTCAGTGGTTTGAGCCGGAGACGTGCCGTCTCATTAAAGCTATTCCGCTTCCGAAGGGTAATGTGGAGGATAAGCTAGTTTGGTTTGATACGCCTGATGGGGAGTTCTCGGTGAAGTCGGCCTATCATTTGGCTTTGGCGTTGGAGAAACGGAGGGGGCGGTGGAGGTCTACGGTGGACTGGATGGACAGGGCTAGTTGGATAAAGCTGTGGGAGGCTAATATTCCGCCAAAATTGAAGGTGTTTGGGTGGCAAATCTTCAATCGGATTTTACCGACCACGGAAGCTCTGATTAGTCGCCGTATTCCAGTCTTACCTCGGTGTCCGGTTTGTTGGGAGGCTTCTGAAACCTTGGAACACCTCTTTTTGGAGTGCCCGATTGCGCGAGCTCTCTGGGGGGCGGCGGGTATGGAACACTTTGGGGAGGGCCTACCTCGGCATACGTTTCCTTTGTTCCTTAAGAAGCTCCTGGCTTTGGTCTCGCAACCTTCGCAGTGGATGTCAATTTTTGCTGTCCTATGGCGGATTTGGAAATCCCGGAACTGGGTTGTGTTTGAAGGCAAACAGTTTAGTCTCCCGGCTCTTCTACGTCAATTTTCCCAACAGGTTGAGGAATGGGCGCGCCTCCCAGTGGAGGAAGCCGCTCCGCCACGGGTAGTAGGGGATCATGAATCAGGGCTGGCTGGAGTTTTTGAGGTTGTCTGTAGGTGGGATGGGGCCACTAGAAGGAGGTCGCATGCGGCAGGGGGAATGGTCATTTTGACTCCCCAGAACGCTGTCCTCAGGGCTAGTGGGGTTACGTTCCCTGGCATGGATGATCCAGCGATTGTGGAGTTGTTAGCACTGCGAGCGGCGATATTTTGGTGTTTGGAGCAAGGTTTTGTTTTGGTTCGATTTGAAGGAGATGCGAAGGTGGTCATTGATAAAATCAATCGAGGGGATTCGCGTGATAGCAGGATGGGTGCTGTTTTGGAGGAAGTGTTGAATCTTTTTGGCAGTAATCCTGGGTTTAGTGTTCGGTTCGTAGGTCGGCAGCACAATAGGGTAGCCCATGTAGTGGCTAGGAAAGCCCTTTCCTTGTATCCGACTATGAGTCGTGCTTTTAATTATCAGGCCTGGCTGTTATCCAGGGTGTAACTATCTTTTCTGAGATCAATATAAGATTATCTTTTGTCAAAAAAAAAAAGGTATTATTAAGGGCAGGCAACGATCCGGTACACACCAGACCGTACTAAACTGAATCAATATTTGGAACGAATCGGTTTCAAATTGAATATATTTTGATTCGATTTTTGTCTTATGATTTATTTTTAGTATGAATAAAAAATGGATTGAAATTGAACTTGGACCAGACCGAATTGAACCAAATGAACCAAACATGTTTTTGTCTGGTTCTGATCTTTATTTATTCTTTATTTTTGGTATGTTTCTATCTCAATTCGAACCGGTTCTAGATCTAATCGACCGACCCCTAGGTACTATCCACAAATTTTTTGTATTCACATACCTAATTTTATCCTAAGGAATAGTTATTCTTAATTTCTTATAAATCAATTCAACAAATGTATTACGTAAGCCTTCCATTATGTTAAACGTATGGAAGTAGCTTACCAAACTATTTTGTGAATTATTTCATCAAAACGAAATCAATAAATTAGTGGATGAAATTTTCGACGTTCTTAGTTTCTTACCACTGTAAAGCGC